TCAGTCCCTGGCATGGGGGGGGCACTTCCTTCTCTTCTGGTGCCCACGGGGGGGGGGCTTCCTCCTCCAAGGCAAGGCTGCTTCCAGGCAGAGGAGGTTCATGCAGTCGGGGGGGGGGATGGACAATACCTCTGGGTGCTGGGGGGGCCCCCCCAGCGGCCAGCAGTTTTGTCTCTGGGTGTTTGCCCAGCCCCACCGACCCTGCTTAGCAGGTGGCGGAGAAGGTGATCTGGAAGGGCTTTTTGTTCCCCACACCTGGCTGTGGAGTGGGACGGGAAGGAAAGGGAGGCCTCTGCGGGAAGGGAACCGATCTGCACTTCTGGGGGGGGGGGGGGCAGGGGCTCATGCATCCGGGTTGCTAGCAAAGTCTGAATTAGTGACTGAGTCATAGAATCACAGAATGTCAGAGTTGGAACTGGGACCTTGCTGGACATCTAGTCCAACCCCCTGGCACTCTGCAGGAGCACAGCCGAAAGACAGCCCTGCAACATCCCCGAAAGACGGTCGTCCAGCCTCCTCCGCTTGGAAACGTCCAGCGAAGGAGCATCCACCGCCTCCCGAGGCAGTCCGTTCCACGGCTCCACCACTCTTACTGTTAGGAAGTTTCTCCTGCTATTTAGCCGGTATATCTACTCCCTTGTAATTCCCACCCATTAGATCTAATCTTGCAATCCGGAGCAAGAGAGAAGAGCTCCGCTCCATCTTCTACACGACACCCCTTCAGATACTTGAAGACTGCAATCATTCATGTCCCCTCTAAGCCTTCTCTTTCCCAGGCTAAACAGACCCAACTCTTTCAGCCTTTCCTCATAAGACTTGGATTCTAACCCTCTCACCATCCTGGTTGCCCTCTTCTGGACACACTCGAGCTTGCCGACATCCTTCCTAAAATGTGGTGCCCCAAACTGGACACAGGACTCTCAGTCAGAGCCCCTTGGGGGGGGGGCCTGCAGGTGCCAGGGACTGCTGGGCACAGTGGTGCCAGTCAGCCAGGGCCCCTTTCTCTCTGGGGAGACCAGAGGGGCCCCCACCCCCCTCTTCAGCAGGTGGTCCCATGCGCTGAAAGGACTTCCCGGAGACCAGGTGGGTCGCTATGGGCGCTCTTTCCCACAATCATGCCAGCGGGGAAGCCCCGCCCCACCCCGCTGGGTGCCAATTCTGCCAGCTCTCGGTACCTCTGAACAGTCGTGGCCCGCCAGCTGCCAGGGAGGGGGTTCTTTTCGTCAGGGTGCGCTCCCTGCCCCCCCCAAGTGCTCTCATGGGGGCCTGCAGCACAGCCCATTGGTCCCATGGAAGGGGGGGTGAGAGAGGAGACACCCCACCCCGGTGGCCCTCCCACCCCAGGGGAATAAAAGCCCGGCCTGACCCGTGGAAGGGCCAGGCCAAGGCTGGGGGAGAGCGACGGCCGGGGTGGGGGGGGCCGGGTCAGGCGAAGCTGCAAAGGGGCCTTTCCCGAAAAAGAGGCGCGGGGCAAGCCCAGCTGGGGCGATGCAGAACGAGACGCACAAGACGGCCAGCGGGGGGGTGGGGGGGCCCTGGCTCACAAACCGCGGTACACAGCGCCGGCTTCAGCATGAATTAAATAAAAGACACCATGAGAGAGAAATTCCTTTGCAGTCTGATGCAACACACACACACACACGCAGGCTCCGCTGCTGCTCGCCCCTCCACCCGCGGGAGTGGCCTGCCTGGGAAGCCTGGCCTAGTGGGCGGCGGCGGAGGAGGAGAAGGCGGGAGCAGAAGGCCGGGTGAGGAGATGCGCCACCATCTCTCCCCTCCCCGGTGACCTCTTAGTGCATACAAAAGGGGGACTCCCTCCCGTGTAGAAGAGAGCAGAGGTTTGGGGGGGGGGCTGGCCCCGCTTGCTGCCGGCCTGGGACTTGAATGCCTCAGGGGCCAAAAGGGGGGGGGGAGTAAACTCGAGGGGGTGCAGCAGCTGCCATGGGGCAGCCCCATGGATCTACATTGCTGCTGGCCTCTGGGCCCCCCAAGAGGAAGCTGCCCTTCAACACCCCCCCCCGCGAGTGGGGCTCAAGAGCGCCTCCCCCCTGCCTTCAAGCACAGTCAGCTGGCAGAGGGTTGGGGGGGACACCCACCCCGTGCGCCCCCCCCCTGCAGAGGAGAGGGAGAGGAGAGGGCGGCCTCGGAGGCACCAATGGAGTCCGCGAAGGAGAGGCGACGGGGTGTGACCAACACCAAGGAAAGGCACGAGGGTGACGGGGAAGGGGAAGTGTGGGTCCTGTGGCCCCCCCCCACACAACTGAAGCCTGCCTTCTGAGCAGCACTGGCCGCCTCTGGGGGGGGGGAGCCCCAAATCAAGCATCCCGCTGGCCAATCACCTGCCTGTGCCTCCAGCACACCTCACCCCCACCCCACAGAGACACCTGCTAGGACCCCCGCCTGCTCCAGAATCACGCCCTTGCAAAAATGACAGCCCCCCACTCCCCCCACACTGGCTCTGCACCAAATTTATCCGGATGGGGGGGGCGGGGGGCAAGAGTTTCTGATGGCTGGCATCTGTGGGCGTGCCCAGTGCCCGTGTCTGCCGCTGCCCCGAGAGGCGAAAGGGCCGACCACACCTTACCTGAGAAATCAACGCCCTGCAGTGGGGAGGGGCCCCTCAAAGAGCCCCCCCCCGCAGCCCTCTGCCTGCCGAAGTGGCAGAGCAGTGAACACCAGCCCTGCCGGGGCACACCTGCCTTTTCCGGGAGAGACAAAGGGGATGGGGGGGGGTGCTAACTGCTGTCCCCTCCTGCCCAGCGCCTAGCAATGCAGCCAACAAGGACGTGGCCTGCCCTGGGGGGCCCGGCCCACACAGCCCTGGTTAGCAACCCCTCCCCCCCCGCCTGGGAGAGGGACACCCGGGCTTCTCCGACCCCCCCTCCGGAATGTGGCCAATGGCTACTCTGGGCATGGAACTCCCCCACCCACCCCTCAGTCCGCACTCCGCTCCACCTGGACAACTCCCCCTCCCCCTCGGACTCTCGCTCCAGGGATGCTTCATTTGGGGATCTGCTCCTGGGAGGGGGCAGTAGAGCAACTGGGGGCAAGGTGAGCTCTTTCCTCGCCAAAACCCTCCTGCCCCCCCCCCCAGCAGATGCACCGAATTCTCAGTACCAGTGAGCAGGTGAGAAACGGGGAGGGGGAGAGAAGGGGAGGCGGGGGGGGGGACTCAGTTAATGGCCAAGGCTACCACCCCCCCACCCCCCACACACGCACAC